ACAGCAGCCAACAGAGCCATACTACGATACTCAGCCTCAGCACTGGACCTGGCTACCAGCTACTGCTTCTTGGACCACCGGGAGATGACATTTGGGCCAAGAAAAACACAGGCGCCTGAGGTTGATCTTTTTTCGTCGGGGTCAGATGCCCAATAAGCATCACAAAACCCTATTAACTATATAGGTTAATGAACAATGGCAGGTTGCAAGAGTAACCCATGCTGAATGGTGCCACTCAAATACCTTAGGATCCTTTTGACTGCCTTCTAATGTTCCTCTAGGAGATTGGACAGGAATTGACAAACTTTGTTGACAGAAAAAGAAATTCCAGGCCTATTCAATGTGGCATATTGTAAATCACCCACAACAGATCTAAACTGAGTAGGATCCTCAACAGGAATAAAACTCACCTTTGACAATTTGCTGGTAGAAGCCATGGGAGTGGGCATGTCATTTGCATTGAGCATATTTACTTTTAGAAGTAAATCAGTAAGATATTTTGTTTGAGAGAGGAGAATGGAACCATTAGGTAGATGAGAAACCTGAATGCCTAGGAAGTAGTCAAGTTGTCCCAACTGTTTCAATGAGAATTTGTCATTAAAAAGCTTGATCAAGGGTGTAATAAAGGAAGTTGAATTTCCTGTAATGATGATGTCATCAACATATACAAGAACCATGATCTGAAGTTTGCCTTGATGAAGCAGAAACAGGTTGGGATTACACCTACTGACTTGAAACCCATGCTGAAGCAGGGCACTCTTGAGTTTGTCAAACCAGGCCCTGGGGGCATGTTTTAACCCATAGATAGTTTTGTTCAACCTGCACACTAGGGACTTGTCAGAGGCTGCAGGGGGTTGTTGCATGAAAACTTCCTCCTCAAAACTGCCATTTAGAAAGGCATTGTTGACATCAATTTGCTGGATGATCCATTTGTTTGTGACGGCAATAGTAAGGACTGTTCTAACTGTGACAGGCTTGATGACTGGTGAAAAAGTCTCCTGAAAATCGCTGCCAGCCCTCTGATGAAACTCTTTTGCAACTAATCTGGCCTTGTATCTGTTGACAGATCCATCAGGGTTTTCTTTGGTCTTGAAGACCCACTTACAGCAAATTGGCTTCCTAGAATCAGGTGCTTTCACCAAAGTCCAGGTCTGATTTCTCATCAATGCATGATATTCCTCTTTCATTGCTTGGAACCAATGAGGAGTAGCCAAGGCTTGATCAATTGATGTTGGTTCCATGTGGGTTAAAAGCAGTGTGGGATTAAGTCTAGGTAGGGTAATGCCTCTTTTGGCTCTGGTTTGCATAGGATGCACATTGAGAGGGTTGACAAAAGGTTGGTTGGAGTGAGAGGGGTTAGAGGAAACAGTTTGAGAGGAAGAGGGAGAAATGGTAGATGCTTCAGCAGGGTCTGAAAGAATGAGGGCAGGAGAGTAGGGAGGGGTGTGGTCATCATTAGCTAGGACTGGTTGGTCATAAGTATGAGAAGTTGAAGCAGAACTTGAAGGAACATGGGATGCAGTATGAGATGCAGTGTTGTGGGATGCAGTAGAACTAGAATTAAAAGTTGAGATAGACTCGGAATGAGAGGCTGAAGGAGAGAATAATTATGATGTTCATCCTGAGTAGAAGAAGGAGGATTAAAGGAAGGAGAGGATGTAGGTTGCCTGGATTCAGGGGATGGAATTATAGAAGGGACTGACCAGGAAGAGGCATTAGTAGAATTGAGATTTGTGTTGGATAAGGAAGATTGAGATGCAGTGGGGAACATGGACTAGTATGGAAATTTAGACTCATGAAACACCACATCTTTGGAGATATAGATGTGACCATCAGAAGTTAGGCACTTGTAACCTTTGTGAGCTATAGAATAGCCAAGAAATAAGCACTCTTGGGACTTATAGGCTAACTGATGGGCATTGCAGGGACGAAGAAGTGGATAGCAAGAACAGCCAAAGACTTTAAGGTTTGAATAATCTGGGGGCTTATTTAGAAGTTTGAAATACGGAGAGAAATTGTCAAGTGTTAGACTAGGTATTCTGTTAATAAGATAGGCAGCTGTGACAAAGGCATGGTCCCAAAATTTTAACGAAATGGTGGATTGGCTGGAAGTGTGAGCCATGTTTCAACTATATGCTTATGCTTACGTTTAACAAGGCCATTTTGATGATGAGTATGAGGACAAGTGAGCCTATGAACAATACCCAAATCATTTAGATATTTGGTGAGAGGCCTAAACTCTTCTCCACCATCATTTTGAACACATTTGATAGGGCAATTGAATTGAAGTTCAACCATTTACTTAAACTGAGTAAACTGGATAAAGGTATCAAATTTGAGTTTGAGAGGGAATATCCAAACAAACCTAGAAAATGCATCTACACAAGTGAGGAAGTATGTGTAATCACCTGTAGATTTTATAGGTGCAGGACCCCAAAGATCACAAACAACTAATTCAAAAGGATGGGGGTAAACTGTGGTAGATAGGGTAGATGGTAATCTGTGGGACTTGTCAAGGCAGCAAGCCTGACACAATTTTATAGGTGGTTTTGGAAAATTGGGGAAGTTGCATAGTTTGAAAACTTCAACTAGAGAATGATGTTTAGGGTGTCCTAATCTAGTATGCCAAAAAACATATTTACTTGTGGCTATGGAGGATGAACTATTAGAATGTGGAGAAGATACATGAGCATTGTAGGTAGTAGAATTAAGAGAAGGATAATGAGTAAAATTGTTCATATTATTATGAAACTGATCATGATTACAAAGAGTATTACAATGACTTATACAATTTGGTAAAAAAATTGAAAACAGGAGTATTGTATACTACAAATGAAGATGATAAATTACAGCTAGCCCTGCAATTTGTAGATTGAGCAGGGCATGAATTTGGACTTGGAAAACTAGACTTCGATAGCTGAGTGGTAGGATTAGAGAACTTGTAAAGTCTATCATCTCCAACAGACCCACGAAGTAACACTTCAGAAGTAGCCTGAGATTTAACAACAGAGAAATTAGGATGAAATTCAAAAAAGACATGATTATCTTGAGCAAATTTGCTCACACTCATTAAGTTTTTGATTATGTTAGGGACAAGGAGAAGATTTCTAAGGGTAAGAAGTAGGTTGGAAGTGTGTGGCAAGTAAAATGACATGGAACCAACAGAATTTATAGACAAACCTTGGCCATTTCCCGTGAATACTTGCTCAGTTCCTGGCAATGAAACAAAATCAGAGAAATTAGAGGCGTCAGGAGTAACATGATGAGAAGCTCCTGAATCAGGATACCACCATTGGTTATTAAAACCAGCTTTACAACCTGCATAAAACGCTTGTGGTGCAGAAGATCTAGGAGGTGCACTACGTCTGGAAACAGAATATCCAAATTGAGCTGGAAACATAGGGCGTGATTGCATAAGGGATTATACTGAGCTCTTGGAGGTGGATATGCAGCAGCACTGGAATTAGAGTAACGATAGTAGCAGATAGATGTGTCATGTCCATATTTATGACAAATTTGACATTGCATTTTGCCAAAACGACCTCCACCGCGTCCATAACGGCCACCACCATGACTGGAACGACCTCCACGAGATCCATAAGTGTGATTATCAGCGTTGGCAGTCACATGACTCGTATGACTCGTACCTTGAGGGAAAGCGTTTGTCAATGTTGGTTGATCAGAGGTAACCGGCGAAGACGACGGTGTTGCCTGAGTTAGATTCACTATTGTTGGTTCAGTAACCACAACCTTACGATGCTTCTCAAGGAGCGATTCATGTGCTAACAGCGACAACTCTAACTCATCCAAGGAACTTAATTCGTCTTTGTTGTTAACGGCAACAACAATCGGATCGTAATCTTCATGCAAAGAATCAAGAACGATCTCAATTAGGTTACGTAACAGTATTGGATCCCAAGTCGAAATCAGTGATTCACTGATTTCGCGTGTACGCGCGATGAGTTTCGTAATCGTGAGAATGCCTTTCGTAAGCTGTCGGAGCTCCAATCGCACTTAGCGCACTTTGGTTGTGAGGAGCGTATTAAAGTAGCGATGGATTTCAGTCCATACCTGCCACGAATGCCTGCACTCTACAAGCTTCGAGAGAAGCGAATCTGAGACGGTAGAGAGTAGCCAAGTGTAGATGAGTGTGTCCTGTTGTTCCCATTCCAGGTACGCAGAATTCGCACCTTGTGGTGTCGTATCAGAATCGAACGGTGATCTCTGAGGAATCACCGGAACAGTAACAAACCGTTGTAGGCGATGACCGCATACAACTCCGTCAATCTGTTACTTCCATTGCTTGAAGTTCCTATCATCAAGCTTTACAGAGATCAAATGAGAAAGCTTCACTTGCGAAGACAGAAACAAGGACTCCATGGATCAAAAAATTAAGCTCTAGATACCATGATAGAGTTTGATAATGAAGAAAGAGAAAACAGATTGATAAACTCTCATTGTATTAACTAAATGAGAAGATATATATTAAGAATGAAATATATAAACTAACTGACTAACTATATAATAACTCTATTAGGAGAACACTATTCTTTTTCCAGCCATAACATGCAAAGTTTCAAAGTAGGGTTGTCTGATCAACCAAATATATGATGAAAAGTGGGGATGTCCCACCATTCACAAAATGAAAGTATCCATTGGTAAATAATGTGGTTATAACAAAATGGAGTCAGGAGAACACTATTCTTTTTCCAGGCATAACATGCAAAGTTTCAAAGTTTCAAAGTAGGGTTGTCTACCAATATATGATGAAAAGTGGAAAACTAGTTATTAACTTAAAAGTCAACGTTACACCTTCCCTCAAACTCATACCAAGGACGCATCACCACAGCAACATACACAGACAATAAGATAAATGAGCGGCGAACTCCGGTCTTATGTCTTAAATCATTTGAAGCTGTATTGTTATAATAACTTAACACTTGTCCTGGCAAATTAGACTAAACCATTACGTTCATAATGACCTTTATGATTTTTATTCATCAACCTTCCTCCCAGTCAACATCATCCTCGTCGTCCTCGTCCTCTGCTGGAGCGACGGCTTCAACATTCAGATCCACCTTGTAACCTCCATTTCCTTTAAAAGTTACAATCAGAATAAAAAAATTAGAGGGCATAATTAACATTATCAACAAAAGGGTAAAAATATATAAAAAGAAAGTTGAGTATTAGCAATTTAACACAGAATTGTGGATCAATGTTGACATTATTAGACGATAAATTATGAAAAATAGAAAATATTCAGACCAAAAATAAACAATCTCCTATTCACCAACATCTTAACATATGGTTCTCCTTGAACCAGTTCCCAGAGGTTCAAAAGTACAATCTATAATTATTAAACCATTTGAAACTAGTTGGTGCTATTTTTTCAAAAAAAAAAAAAAAAAATTGAACAATAACCTTATGCCTCATTTATGCTTAAAGAATTTGATTTTGTTTTTAAAAAAAACTTTTTTATTTATAGTCCAAGTATAACTAGGTTCAATTCCAATTGAACCTCTGCAATGTGGTCTGCTCTCCTTTAGAAATTAGAGATTAGTCTTCCTATTTCATAACACATTTTACTTGTTAAGACGTTGAGTATTCCTATCATTCATTCCTAGTCATTATCACTTCTGTTGCACCATCTTAGCATTACATGTGTAATAATAATAACGCTCAAAAATGGATCTAGAGTGATGATCATGCACATAATAATACAATTTCAATTAAGGGGACCAATTAACCCAGCAATAATATAATCAAACAAGTAAGTAATCAGAGTGTTTATGACTTATCGAGTATTTATAATCAAACATGTTATGTCTTATAATTTTTTACAGTGTGTTATGTCTTATAATCAAACACGTGAGGCAAGTTGGGACATTAAACACGCATGCAACAATTAGCAGTCATATATAGGTATTCTAGACTTATACTATAACAAATCTAATTTCTGTGTAGTTTGGAAACTGTACCTCTAACAGGAGCTTCTTCCCATTCAGTACCATCATCATCTTCCTCGCGCTTTGTTTTAATGCCAACTTGGCGATTGGAAGTGCTGCTAGAAGGATCATCTGCACCATTCCCATCTTGGGGATTTTTTGCAGCTTCTTCCATTTCGTGTTGCTTCTTAAGTAAAGCAGCGTAATAGGCCTTAATATACTCATCCTATAAAAATATACAAGGTAACAGAAATTTTAGTGATAAAAAACGTTCTGGTGCCTTGGGGGGGAGCAGGGACAGGGAACTTGAACAAAAAGAATCAAACCATGCAGAAAATAACAGTTCATATTTTACGAACCTGTATATTTTTATCATCATGCACAATTGTTGACTTTTTCTCATCTGTATATTGTGCTGCTGTGGAAGTTGAAGTCCCATCCATTTTTATTTCCTGCTTCACTTCTCCACGTTGTTCCTTCGTAAGATTCATACCTGATGTAATCATCCATGGAGGCAAAACCTTTAAAGATGTACTGTCAGTTTCAGATTTAACACCCTCTCCTTTGCCTTCAGTACCATTGAAGTCAACTATCACCTGTCCACATTCATTGATAGACTACTTAACATTTAAACATTAAAGGAAGACATGATGAATGCTAAATTTAAAAGCTATACAAGGAACCATGAAAGCACATTTGTCCTACATAGGACATGCAGACTGACTTGTTAACCACTTTCGAGAGATAGGTACTAGAAATCCAATAAACCAGAAACGAAACTTAAACAAAACCGTAAAGAATTTCGTTTCCAGATGATATTAATGGTGAAAACGATAGAGCGCTAGGCCCCTTATAGAAAACAACACCAATGTGAAAAAGAAAAATATCCCAACAATTATTCCTAAGAAAACATCAGTCAATCCAAGGTCAATGCCATACCACAGCTACCTAATTCTTGCCTAACTCCCATCGACCTCTCACCTTTCCAATATATAAAAACGATCCCTTGTCTCACTCTCCACTCATCAAATGCCACCTGTCCCATTTTGTTATGCCCCGTCTCCCTTCTAACGGCTTCCTCCTTTTATCCCACGAGCCTATCAGACTGGACTCTCTTGTGTTAAATTTTCAAATGACAAGGTCATAACAAAATTGTGCCCATCTCTTTATTCATAGATATTAAGAAATTTTCATAGAGCCCTTCCAATCAATGTCTGCTATAAGAGACATAAATTTTGCATGACAACCATGTGAAGGAAAATTAGCATTACAACTTTCATTGCCAACTCATTGCATGTTTGATTTTGTGGTGGCAAAAATTGATTTGGAATGAATTGATTTTACTTAAAAGTGACTTAAATATAAAGTGGTTTATGTTTGAGTAAATTTATGTAAAAGTGAGTTCGACAATAAACTGTAGGGTAAAAATCAAGTTTAGCTCAAAAACTACAAATCCTAAATTCAAATTATAACCAATTCTAGGGACAAAACCAATTCTACTCGAAAGCAACCAAACATGTCATTCAATTATACAACTCCAGAATCAATTTTGGCAGCTCAACCAAACATAGGTGTGTTTGGTTCTATGGTGGTGAAAATTGATTTTGAGTGAATTGATTCTGTAAAACTGATTAGGGTTAAAAGTGAGTTGGAGGTAAAGTGATTTATGTTTGGGTATATTTAAGCAAAAGTGAGTTGAACAATAAATTTCAGTGTAAAAATCACGTTTAGGCTCAAAAGTTATAAATCCTAACTTCAAGTATAACCAATTTTGGAGACAAAATCAATTCAACTTTAGAGGACCAGACAAGTCAAAATCAATTCTACACCTCTAGAATCACTTTTTCCTCTTCCAAAATTGAAACCAAAATAGAAAAGTTCGCATTCATCAGCAAATATAAAGGAAAATTATATTGCTCAAACTTAAACAAAAGATGAAAGCTTTTAGGTTTTATAGAAAAAGAAAATTTGCAAAGACAAAAGAGGGAATGATGTACAACTAAGAGGATAATATATCATCCAAAACTGGGGGAAGAGATCCAAGAAAATTGATGAGAAAAAGAACATAACCGTTGATTGGTCTCTGTCTTACAAGTACAGCTCTTAGGTTTTGTTAGTCAGTTAACCAGCAGCAAGTTGGCATAATTTGTTAAAAGTTTAAGTTAGCTTAGCTAGTAACTATATGTACCAGAATCTTCAAAGGTTTCGTGCAGTATTTCAGTGGCAAAATATTTAAAGTACAATTCTATCCCTTTCTCACTGTACTTTATTTCCCTTCATATCTTTTCTATTTTCTCTCTCCAATTTTATATTCCTAATATTTTGCAAGTTAGAAAGGATAACTCCCTTAAAACAGCATAATGTTACCTTGGTATCTCCACTGTATGGCATTGGTGCTCCATTATATCCCAAATGAGATTTAGAATCGCCAGAATTTTCTCCATTAGCAGCACGCCCAGCTGCACTAGCTCGAGCTTCCCATGCTTGAAGAGTGCCAAATTCTGGAACCGGCAAGTCTTTTACCCGGCCGAGTTGGTCTATTAAAGGCTTGAGTTGTACCTGCACCAGCACAAATACAGCAGTCATAACATGCAAAGTAAATTGTAGACCAGAAGCTACAAAAAGTAAAGGCCATAATTGTGTAAGCCTTAGCAACTCATCGTGAAAATAAGATGAGATAAATGATACCCGCAGTCATGTTTATTTAAAATTGTGAGTAGAGTCAGTAGGCTTGTAAACCAGCCCAAAATTTACAGTTCTACTAAGTACATTCCCAAACAAAACCCAATTATATTACATTTTTTTTAAATGATCATACATACTTGCGTGAACTAATACACTTGGTCAAAACTCATAATATTGTTGGCCTCAAGTAAATTTGCTGGGTGTATTAGATTGATAGGTACCAGAAATTCAATAATACAGAAATGAAACTCAGAACAGTAAGGGCTTCCAAATTATTTTAACAGTGAAAGCAATAGAGAAGTAGGCTACTTATAGAAAACTGAATTAATGTAAAAGGGAAAAAATACCCAGACTATTCTTCCTATATGAAAAAACCGGTCGGGCAGAAGACAAAGTGTTACCATTAGTCGACCACTACCCAATTCTTGCCTAACTACAATCAACCTTGAACCTCTCCAATATATTGTTTTATCTTTTTCTCACCACTCATCAAATGCCACTTGTCCCTTTCAGTTATGCTCCCTTTCCCTTCTAATTGTTTCCCGTTATCTCACGGGCCTATCATAGATTTATCCGGTTATCTAGCTGTCTCATGCCTTTTCTAGAGTGGGTCATGGTTCTGACTGGTTCAACAAAACCAAGCTGCCGAGTACAGTTTGGGTACAAAAACGGTGAGTTCAATTTTGAAATGGAAGCAACTTCATTCCTATGATCCTCTACCAAATAGGGATGGACTGGTAAGTAGTAAGTATAGGAGAATGGAAGACGCGGATGCAGAATATTGTACTAAAATTTTCCAGTTGACGTCTTTAGAATATTGAATGACACTACACGATTTCTATGAACTCCCTTATTAGCTGGTTTATCCTATATATACAAGGCCTAACCCCAAAAATATAATAACAAACATTACTTGCTAGAAACTACTTCAGTTAAGAAATTTCCCAGTTCCAGATAACAACTTTGATAAAGATCATCGACAACAACAAATAAAAATGATCCAACATATGAAGCCACAAATAGAAACAAATGTGCAATAAATCATATAAGAACCTCCATCTTTTGAAGCATGTCCTTTAACTTTTCACGCCGTCGTCTTCTTGCATTTTCATCTCCATCTCCTCCGTCTCCCCCATCTTGAGCAGCGAACTTATCACTTTCAACCTCTAGTTTTCCATTACAACGTTCACAATGGAAGTCCTCGTCTTCAAAAGATATCAACCGCAGTGCATCCAAAGCATTGTATCTAAAATAATTAAAATCCCCAAGTATTATGAAACAGAAATATATCAATACAAATAAAATAACTACGAAAAAATATATTACAGATAAATACAGTTATTTCTGAAACCTTTTTCCACAGTTTATACATATATATTCCTGAACAGTGTTTTTGTTCTCCAATTCATCTTTCAGCTTATGCTTCATGCGATGCAGTCTGTACCTAACCACATCATATATCTGCAACAAAATCATAAGTTTCCTGTATACGAAGGAGCCTAGATTTTGATGAACCAGTTCAAACGAATTGTCTGAAAGGCAGGAAAAATAAAATTGACTTTCCTTTATTAAAACTAAATATCATTGGTAAAACTACCGTTGAAGAATATAATTAGTGGAGAGATTGACCTGTGCATAATCTAGACAACAATAAGAGTGTGTGTGTAGCTTGACCTTTTCTTCTCCCTCCTTTCCTGTTGCAGCATCAGCTGTAGCAGCTACAGCCGCGCTATATATTTTTGCACCTTTTGCTGTCTGTGTTAAAATTATACCATAGGAAACATGTGAACAAAATACATATACGACTAAATACATTCACCCACACTTCTCACACATGCAAATCTAAGACTGGTGAATATAAAAATAATAAAACAAAAAGACACACATCAACAGATGGAAAATAACCTTCACATTACACAAGGGATGGAATCTTCTAAAATTAATCTAGAAGAGCTTGCATACTCTTCATTGTTCAAGATCTATAAAAAGTTGTCATTGTAATAGGAGGAAGAAAAGACAAAGATGCTACTACATTTTGTAGCAGCACAACAACTATCATTGTCAAAGAAAAAATATGTTATGTGCCAAACCAAAAGTAAATACAAACACATCGTGTATATCCCGAGGCTTTAGGTCTTTGATTTCAAACCTTCTATGCACAAGGCAGGAAAAAATAACATAACAGAATTGACAAACAACGATCAATAATAAGCATTCTATGAACTACTGTACACCTTCACTAAGTGGAGGAATGAATTAACATGAGTCAACGATAATTATTTGATCGACTGTGTTAAATTGTTAAACTCATTCAAGAGATCATTACTAAACTGTGTGTGTGGTCACAATCAAGCTATGGATCAAACAACATAACCTATGATGCATAGGTACGGAATATGGCATTTTAAAAAAATCAAGGTATGGGTACGTCAATAGAAAGTAAAAATTTCTTTGTGAAATGTATCTATAGAGAACTAAATTGCTCAATTCACAACAAAACATCACAATAAAAGTTCAAAATGTAAAAAATTGTGCGAGATTATTATAACAAAGAAACTAAAATACATAAATATATTATATTAATATATGAGAAAATCACAAGTTTCACTCGAAACAAAAAAAAAAATGATAAAAATTAAGTACCACGAGTACGGCAGTGTACCCGATAAGGATACTTCACCATTTTAGAAGTACATGTGACATAATGATTTCATTGGATTGGCTAATGCTTGTAGGTCAGGCATGCTGTATTTCACAAAAGAAAAGCAACATAATGAATGGACAGGACTGGATAGTTACCTCTCTCCTATGATCTCGAGTGATAATCTTTTCTTCTTCAAAGAACCGCAGAGTTCGACGAAGTTGCTTTGTATGCAATTTGAGGTCCTTTGCCAAGTCTTCTTCTCTAACCCATTGTCGTCTGTAATAAAAATTAACATCAGATCAATACAATTAAAATCCAAAGTTTCAAACTTAATAAATAAACCCTATATTACTTGAATAAGTGAACTGCTGTCAACGGAACTATCACTAATCACTAATAGTCAACAATCATTGGCAAATTATATCTAAATTGCTTAAGAATTAAGATTATAAGAAATTTAATTGAGCTTGTGCATAATTTGTTCGCACGGACACCCTGAACAAGACCCCAACAATAACACGATGACGCCGGCAATAATTTGAAAAAAAATGAATAAATTAATTGTAAATCAGTATTTAATAAATATGTGTGAATTGTAGTTAAACTTGAAAGGGTGATAAATGAGAAGAAAGGTTGAACCTGGTGAGCGCATCAAGAACAACTACGGCAATTCCTCTGTTATCACTCCTTCCCGTTTTGGGTTGATTATCTCCTTTGCTGGTAAGATCGTCATAGAAAGCTCTCGCAGCTAGTTTAACAAGCCTATGCAAATTTAAAACAAAATTCACAAATCACATTTTGTTCCTTAGTTTCTTATGCTTTTTTTGGATCAAATGGAAATTCGATGCACATGAAATGGAGCGAGAAATTCTTACTTGTTGTAGGGTTCAATCATTGATACGATCTGATTTAGGGTTTTAGTGCAGTCTTCGGTGGTGGTCTAGATGGTTAGGTTGCGGTACCGGAGACGATGAAGGAGACGTCGGAACGAGAGATTAGGTTGCCGTAGCGTGACCGGTGACGGTTATAAAGAGAAGGTGTTTGGCTGGGGAAGATTCAGAAATCGAAGGAATTTGTGAAACCAAATTCATAAATTGAAGGATTGGAAAAGAGGAAAAGTTCTTGTGAAATGGGACGAAAATTGTTACTAGCAAGGGAGCATAGCAGAATGCCCTAGGTCAATAACAAAAATAATTAAGCATTTGATATTTAGTTATCCTACTCTTCAGTCAATTATCTAAGACAACAAAAATTTGCATATGAAGTTCCAATTTTACCCTTTTGTTTTACTCCATTATTTAAAACAAAACACATTCTTTTTCCTCCTCTCCTTATGTATCATTATCAATGTTAGATGTGACACCTAATCTTTGTCTCTTGGAAAGATTGAAAGGTGTAATTCAACAATGTTATTCGAAGGTAGGAGTAAAACGATGGTTTAAGAAGGATCAACCATGGATGTGGACGATAATAGTGTCGTTTGAATTTGATGTTACGTTATTCCATATTATGTATGGTTGTCAGATATATTCAAATCTATTTTGGCATCGGTGGGAGAGTTTATTTGTGCATACGATAGTACGAGGAATAAGGTTTAAATGAATGTCGATTGTTTGTTAATAAGGACAAAGCAAGTGAATGTAATATGAGAGGATATAGAAGTTGTCATCAATGATTTATGTTTTCTGGTGAAGCTTATAGAGGATCCTCAATGTCCAGTGAGAAAGCTTGCTTTTGATTGTGAGGAATTGGAATTTTCGTCGGGGTCGAATTCAGATGAGGAGGAGAGCTTTTGGCAAGATGAAGAGGAAGAAGATGAAGGAGAAATAGCATGTGCCCTAGCAGGTAGCATAGAAAAAGTGGAAATGTTTGAGGATAACGAGGCAGAGCACACGTTGATTGTTTCCCTAAAGATTTAAACTCGCCTAGGTCATATAAAAGTGAAAATTTGTTGGCTGCGAAAATAGTTCTCACGTCGCTTCAGGATATGGTTTTGCTAAAAAGTACAACTCGAGTTGTTGAAGAAATCAGTGTGTCAGTTGTTTTGGGGTTCATGACTTTTAGTATAAAAAAACGCTTGTTAGCCAGACTCAACTGGGTTGGGGACAATGATGTTAGATTTTTAGGCCCTACCCAATTGAATCAAGAACCAGTGTTGGGTTCTGGTCCGAAAGTCGTGAATGAGGGGCATGCCCCTTCCCCAAGGTTTGTGACCCAACCCAAGAGGAAGTGTGAACTAATTTTGGAGGCAATGGAGTCAAAGAATGTCCCAAATTATACTCAAGCATTTTACTCAACTAAGAATCCTCCTGTAACTTCTAAAGCAATTCCTCTATTCAAATCATCCTATTTCTCATCCCTAATTCGGCCTTCTTCAAAGTCAAAGTCGAATTTTGTGTCATCCAAATCTTCAAAAGGGAAATTTTCAGGGGGTTTAGCTCTTTGTTGTGACTTTACCTCTGATGAAGATGTTCAACAAGGAAATTTGTGTTTTTGGATCAAAGAGGATGATGGAGCGACATCAAAAATCTGGAAAAAGGCATATGACATGGGTATTAGAGGAAGAGCTGACAAAAGTGTCGTCTTATTGGAAATTATGTGTCTTGAGGGAATGGATCATAAGGTAGAAAATTAGAAGGAAGGTAACAAATTAGGTTTATCATGAATATGCTTTCTTTTAACATTAGACAGGGGATTCATCCAAGAAGCATGTTATTAGAAATCTTATTAGGGTAGGGAAATAGATGTTTGTATGGTGCAAGAGCCAAAGATGCAGAGTATAGAGAATCCCATTGCTTAATCTTTTTGGGGGCATGGTGAAGTTATGTGGAGCGTCAAAAATGTAGTTGGTCGGGGGGGGGGGGGGGGGGGGGGGGGTATGTTGCTTTTGTGGAATCCTTTATTATTTTATATATTGTTGAGTTTTGAGGGGGGGGGGGGGGGGGGGGGGGGTTCGTTGGAATTCAAGTGGCTTAGAGAGGGCTAATTGTTTATTTCGTAAATATTTACACATCATGCACAATTCAAAGTAAAAGACGATTGTGAGCATAACTTATTAAGTTGAAATTGAAATTATGGCACTTACAATACATGTTAATACTTATGCTTCAACATCAGAATAATGCCAAGATAGATGTTGTGACATGTGTTGACTGACATAATAGATTTATCAAATTGTAACTGATACAGAATTTTAAATTGTTGAATGATAAAAACATAATCAATTATTAACCCAGTTTGGTGCAACATCACCTACATCTGGGGGCTACCAAGCCAGGAAGGAAATCCACTATAATGGTATTAGTTCAAAGCCTAAATTGTCCCAGTTTACAAATTCTCTCCTAATCACTATCTCGTACAACTTCTACCTATAAATCACCATCTAGATGTGAGAAATCTCATCTCACTTCCAATCAACGCAATGATACCTACAGCCACAAACTTTATGACTAGAAATAATTACCAAAACAGAAGAATATACTTCCAATTAAAAATACTTAGTTTTTCTTCAAAGCTTCAACAAAGAACAATATTCAACCTTATGCTTAAAAGCTTCAAAAGTGAGAATAACAACTTGATAAGTAATCAAGTAACAATCAGTCTACCTCACTGTTTCAAAAGATAGATGGATGACTTGCAAAAGCACAAGAGACTCTCAAAATCTAACACTTATGACTTTCCCTAATTTTATAATTGTGAAAGTTAAATTACATTAGGTCTAAGGTTCTCTTTAATACTCCTCAACCAACCACGGGCTTTGAAATATTCACCCAAATATTCTTTGATTCATAAGCTAAGGGCTGCACTAATTATGCAAAAAAATCTCCTTAAATCTTGGAGCAAATCTTCAAGTATCCTAAATTGTCTCAGCATCCAATTTAGAAACTTTATTACTGTTGGAGATTTGATTCACTTGTTCTAGATTAAATACTCTTGACCTGCGTAAATCATTGAGATATATCCAAAAGATATATCATAAAATCAAATCAAATCTATCAAGATTTAAAACAACTTGTACTGATGTTCTGGTTCAGCATGTTGTGACATCTATCAGAACATTTGTTTTTCAATGTAAGCTTATATTCTGCTTTATCAGTTTGATCAAGATGTTATGGCATCTAACTTAACATATCTCAAGAACCATGTTTTAGCAAAATTACTGTAAATCCTAAAACCATGGATCTAACAATCTTCCCCTTTGGCAAATTTTGTCTAAAATAACCTTTTGCACAATAAACCTAGAGAGGGGAATAAAACCACAAACAAAAATACAAGATACATGTTAAAACATGTAAACTTTGTACATGAGGAAGAAGATAACTTGTTGTTTCATAACTATCCAAGTTACTCATGTAAGAATAAGAAGTGTTTCTACATCTGGCCTTGGGATTTTGATGATAACTTTACATGTTATCTTAGAGAACAATTGTATACACTAATGGTTTTGTTCTAGTGTGTAGTTGTTGCTATAATGTTCTGGCTCTAGTACAAGGCGTGTGATATCATCAGGTTCTGAATATACACTCTGAAAGAAAACATGTGATTACGTGTTACAGATTAAAGTCAAGGTTCTGAATCTATCTTCTGCAACGTGTCTAAGAAACGTTAGTACAAGAGGTTCTGATCGTGACTTCATGATTAATCTTTGGAGGCCTTCTAAAGCTTTTCTTCTATGTGTTACAAGTTCTAAAGATTATGAAGATGAGGTTCTGCTGAACAAGTTCTGATGATATGAAGAAAAACAAGTTCTTACAACCAAGTGTTGAAGACTCTGAAGATAAGGTTTTGTGTGACAAGTTCTGAAAACTCCAAGACTTAGGTTCTAAGGCTTAAGAAATATTCTTCTAAAATAAGCTTCAATGTTCAACATTCAAATATCCGAATCCACTGAAGATAAGGAGAAAAGTTTAAAATTGTTAACGTGTGATGGTGTACAAAAGGTACATAAAGTGCTTGTGACCTCTACTCTTCTAGAGTGGCGCAAGAACAGTCCTTTTGTATTTGATTATGACTACTCTCATTATAACCGTTGAGAACCAACACCTAGATTTCCAATTTACCTTTTTACCCTTTCAACAAATCTCTTTTACAAGCTATAAAAGGAAGACTTGGAAGCTTAAGAAAAGTAAGAAACTACACTACAACGACAAATCTATTGGTTCAAATCAAGCTCAACAAAACTACACCAAAGCATTGTGCAAACTCTATAGAGAAATCATTTGTGTATAGTTTTGTAAATAAGAAGGAGTTATTGCTCGTATCTTGCAATAGAACACTTAGGTGTTTTTCATTGTATTGAAATGTTTGTGTAATCTTCTTACAAGAAGCAAATTTGTAATACACTGAAAGTACTTAAATGTTGTTGAATGATACCTTGAGAGACTGAGTGAAGGTCTGATCTCAAGAAGACTCCTGTTGCGGCTTGAGTGAATTTACAATAAGGATCGACAAACTTATTGGTGGTGCCAATAAGGTTTATCAGACTTATTATGGGTTATTCTGTAAGCAGTTTAGTTATAGTGGATTAAGTCCCTGTTTAAGGTGAAGTCATCCTTAATGGGGTGGACTGGAGTAGCTAGGTGGTGGGGTATTGTTTAATTAAGATGAATATGGGTATTTTAGTAATTTAGATAATTTAGAATAATTATTTAAAATTACTATTATTATTAAAGTAGAATAATATGGTGCAAAGATATATTATGGGCGAAGTTGTAATTGGTGAAAAGATAAGTGATGGTAAGATAAGAAGACCATATTAGGGGTCTAAGGGTTAAACAATGAAAAGAGGGATTTTTGTGTTCATTTTTGTTATGATTGTATTTTGGGAGAAAGCGTAGTAGAGCTAGGGCACGAGGAAACAAGGGGATTTGTGGTAGAACATAGAGAGAAAAATCA